GGTGTGTGTGTGTGTGTGTGTGTGTGTGTGTGTGTGTGTGTGTGTGTGTGTGGGAAAGAGGGAGAGAGAGATAAAAAGAGAGAGAGAGAGCCCAATCACAACACAGAAAGAAAGGGTGTTGGATGCGTTCAGACAGTATATGGTGGACATGTGGAAATATGAAAACAGAAGTGTGAAAGTAGAATACAAAATAACCCAAGCTATCTAATGCAGGGTAGACAAGACACTTTCATTCATCCATCCATTTTCTGTCACGCTTGTCCTCATGAGGGTCACATTCCCAGCTGACATTGGTCCGAGAGACGGCCTTGGCCGGTCGCCTGTCAATTATAGGCCACCATGACGGATTTGATAAAATGAATATATTTCCTGTCTATAAACAAGTCAAGGGAGGCAACTGAGGGTTGCCGCAACAATGACAGAGCCCATCTATCCATCCATTTTCTGATACACTACTCGTCACAATAGTCACGGGGCGTGCCGTACGTAGCCTTATCCAAGTCGTCTTCGGGCAGTAGGCTGGGGACACCCTGAACTGTTTGCCAGCCCGATTTAGAGTGTGAGCCATTAGTCTCAGTGATAGAGTTTGCGGTTCAGCATTCGTGAATTCACCTATCCACTGAGTTTTTGGGGGCCTCACAGTACAGAGGTGCAGGGTTCAATTCTGGCTCCGGCCTTGCTGTGTGGAGTTTGCATGATCTCTGCGTGCCTGTGTGGGTTTTCTCTGGGTACTCTGGTTTCCTCCCACACTCCAAAAACATGCTTTGCAGTTTAACGGAACACTCAAAAATGTCCCTAGGCATGAGCGTGAATGCGAATGGTTGTTTGTCTATGTGTGCCCGGCGATTGGCTGACAACTGCCCGAAAAACACCTGGGATAGGTGTAATGGGAATTTCACATATAACGGCGCTAAAACGAAGTAACTGTTCGTACTACTGAATGCTGACCAGTTATTTTGCAGATAAGCAATTGGCTTCAGCATGCCTGCGACACGTGTGAGGACAAAGGCAGTTCAGGTCATGGATAGATGGATGGATGGATGGATGGATGTGATTTGCAGCTGTGGCATAAATGATAACTTTGTCCATTTGAGACTATTCTATCGTACTGTGCTATCAAATTGCAAATGCAGATGCTGAAAAACAAAAGCTAAATGTTTGCAGACTGAAATTTCGAGGAAAAATATGAATTGAGCAGTTTAACACTAATGAATAGAGCAACATGGCAGTTTCCAGGCCCTAAATGGATTGACTTACTGACTGACAGAAGCAATTAAATTTACAAACGGTAGCAATGACTGATGATAAGATGACAGACCGATGAGTAACAATGTGGTTCCGTTTGGAAAAATAATGGACTGATGATGACAGATGGGTGTCAAGGCCGCTGACAGATGACGAATGATTGACCAGCAAAAGTTTGTAAAATTGCCGTCTCTGTTGACAGGGAAGCCGAACTGAGCAGCTGCGTACCTTTTTGCAGTTGATCACCATTCAGCCATTTTTTTCTAAGTTGAGTGTGTACTGTATGTAGCAACAACGAAGTGGGCAGGTACTCGAATTGAAAAGTAAATCTGTGTCACAGCGACGCCAAAATTTGATCTGCTTGTTTTGCAAGCTTTTCGCCTTTTTATTGCCTGTTGGAAACAATCGATGATGGATGTCATAGAGGTCAAATTGAAACCATGTAACAGACTCATTTCGACCTACATTATCCAGTTATCCATATTACATTCATTCATTTTCCGATCCGCTTATCCTCACAAGGGTCGCGGGGGTGCTGGAGCCTATCCCAGCTGTCTTCGGGCAGTAGGCGGGGGACACCCTGAACCGGTTGCCAGCCAATCGAAGGTAGAGATAAGATCGGTCCTAAAAAATCGAGCCCGGCCCGAACCGGCCCGAGGGTATTTAAGCCCGACCCGACCCGAGCCCGATCAATTAGCTTGATTTGCAGGCCCGAGCCCGAAGCAAACCCGACATTTCATATTTTATTTGTGATGACTCGGGGAGGAGGAGGGGTGATTTCTGAT